GACCTCTAGTTTAATTTTAGAAAAATGCTCAATTTTCTCATTTTACCCAAAATTGGGAAAATTTATTTCAAAATCTGAGGTGGTACGAAGTCATGCGATATGTCTCCAGACTCGGTTTTTGACGTAGATTACAGCTATGGTCTTAGTTTTGACCTCTGACCAAAAATTTGGAGTCCAGGCAGAATTTTCAATATTACGTATGAAAGCCCATAAGAAACCAATGCTAAACTTCAAGCCTCTGGCGCGACCTCTAAATTTTGTCCAAAAAATTCCGGACTTCACAGTTTTCATTTTTGACACAAAAAGAAACTTTTCCACAACAAGCGCCAAGAATATCGAACATTCGGCGCTTTTGAAACACCCTAACTCTTGCTTATCAAATAATTCCAAATCAATACGAATCGCTTGTACATTTAGTACAATTTCAGATTGTACATTCACTTCACATATCGACTTATCAAAGAAAATATTCCCGTAAATCTACGAATATTTTTCACAGTGAATAAGAAAACAAATATTAAAAATTTCAGACTGTTTTCCGCGCGCCCGCGTCACGGTCACGTTGCGGCGAACCCCTCTCCTCCTCGGGCAACTTTCGCCGTGGCGTCGAGTCCACCACGAACGAACGGGTTGCACAGGCCGCGAGGGGAGAGCGAGGCGGGGGTGGCTCGGCGGCGGTGGGGTCCTGAGGTCGCGGCTCAGCGCGGCGGAAGTGATCGGTGCGTCAACAAATCAGCGCCAACATTGAAATAATAAAAAAGTTGGGCGTCGGGCGGTCGCGTCTCCCTCGCCGCGCCGCCCCTCGTCACCTCGCCGAGCGCTAACGATATTCAAACTTCGCGCGGTCCCACTAGTGTCACTTTGTGTGCAAAACTGGACCGACTCGAATATATATAATAATAAAATAAAAAGTAGTGGCGAGGGGAGGAGGGGGCAATGCGAGGTGGCGGGGTGTGGCGATCATAAAACAAGCAGTTAGTTCGCCATGGCCATAAAGCTCCTCGAGGTCCGGTCTGCGGGACGAGGAGGGGGAGAGGGAGGGGGACAGACGATAATACCAGCGTGTCAACCGATGTTCGCCGCCCCCTCGATCAGGCGGCTCCGCGGGGCGGCGGTCGGTACCGCGGCTCTGGGTTCGACAGCCGACAGCCGCGTAAGCCCCTTCCTCTCTCCCTCATACTCATACCACACGTGTGTGCGCCAAGCAGGTGAGTTGCCAGGGGGCTGGGCTGGCGTACGCAAGAAGTACTTAAAAGTCTATTGCCGTAAAAGGGCGCGGCGGAGGGATCCCAATGCGCTGCCCTTCCTGAGGCACTCCGGGCTATGCGGCGGGAGACGGAAGGGTTGAGTCGAGTGTCGGCGGCGGTGACGGCGAGGGGGAAAGGCGCGCAGGAGGAGGGGGCCAGGACCTCCCAGCCTAATTGAAAGTCTCTCAGGCGAAGTATCTCCAGCGGGCGATACTTTTAATGTCACTACAGTTTAAACAGTCGGGCAGACTGGCGCGTTTACAGCGTTTACACATTTAGATGTGTGCCACCGATAGGTAACCTGCACGCGGCACTAACGCGCACGCGAATAATACTTCTGGCACTTTGAAAGCCAGTATGTTTGTTTTTAAAACGAACAGTAAAAACGAAAATCACTTTTGAGGATTGGAGCAATGACTTCAAATTGACCAATCACGCGTCTTACAGACCCTTTGGCCACGAGGACCAAACAGCTCAGCATATATCACGGGAAAAACAACGTCCATGTGAAACGTGGAACGTCTATCCAAAACTGCTCGTTTCTACCGTGATATTCTAAATCGAAGAGTAAAATTTTCAGAGGAAAATGTTGAGTTGGATGAGTGGATTGGATCTGGTACATATATGCTTATTTTCAGAGGAATGCATTAGATGATTTCACCCTCAAAAAAGCCGGTGCATGAAATCAAGTGCATTTTCTTGAAACGAGGGTGAGCATTCAGTTTATTCGAAGTGCATGGCTCTTGTTTCGAGAAAATTCACTTGATTTCAAGCACTCGTTTTTTTCCGGTGATTTCGACAAGGTAGTTTTTGGAAATCCTGATATTTTGAGTGGCGTTGCCGGGGGCATGACAGTGCGGGTCAGGCGGGGCGACGACAGGGTCGCGACCGAGTGATAATTAGTGTAAGCCGTCCAGGACCCCGTCCAGGACCGGACGGACCGGTTCCATTCATCTTGTGGGCGGGCGGAGGTGTTGAAGGGCCGGGCTGGAGGCAGATCGGGAGAGAGAGAGAGAGAGAGCGCCTTGAGGGGCGCCTCGAGGACCTTCGAGAGGAGCGGTGCCGCTGGCTGAAGCGCCTAAGAAACGCGGCCCGACGCGGCGCCGCCCCTCGGCCGCCGTCGTGCCCGGTGCAGCTTGATCCTGACAGGTCGGCGCGCGCAGCGCACCCTGTCATCCCCATGACCACCGTGAGCATGCCGACGTGTTGTGAGTGACTCGCACACAAACCACACACACCACACCCAACACCGCCAGCCACCACCACCACCGCCACCTTGCCCGCCCCGCACAGCCACGCCACGGCCAGCCGAGGTGGTGGTGCTTGATTAAACTTTGACAAGTTAAGGTTCCGTCTGAGGCTGATTTGAGCCGGATAAGGAAGTACACCAGACCAGCAGCAGCGCGTGTCGGCCGCGGTGGCGTGGCGTGGCGTGGCGTGGCGGGGGGTCGGCAGCGACATCGCGGCGAGCGGAGTCACCTTGTTAGCGATGCCCGACACATTATCGCTCTGTTTTCGGTTTTTAAAATGTCACAAAATAAATTTATGTTACTGTATTTTTAATGATCAAATTAATGGGAACCCCGATGCTAAATCGGCCGGGACACTGGCGAGCCTTTACCCCGCGGAACACTCCCCTCCCCTCCACCATTCCCACTTTCACCTTTCTCCCCCCATCCCTCTCTCCGGACCCAACCCCCGCCGCTCTCTCCTGAAGCGAGAGCGGCGGCCTTACCTCGCCAGCGCGCGCATCAATGGAAGCGAAGTTAAGGCTTTAATAAAGTTTTTCCCCGAGGTCCTTTCAGAGGCGAATTTCGGGTTGGATGCGAACGATTCATGCATGTAGGGGAGCGCGGCGCGCTGGCGGCGCTGGCGGCGGCGGCCCCCCCTCGCTCCGCCTCACCCGGCCCGACAGAAAGAAAATAATGGTATCTGGACGGGTGACGAGAGGACTGCCAGCTGCGAGGTGGCCGCCAGCAGCCGCGGGTCCACCTCCCTCCGCCACCAAAATGCGCGGAAGAAGTGTGTGGTGTGTCCCCCCCACAACTACGCTTTGAAGTGTTGTGTTTAATGCTGCGGAAAATAATGACTGATTATCTGCGGCCCCCAAGTGGCGCCCCTGGCCGCCCCCGCCGTCTTTGTTCTCGCCCCGAGCCCGAGGAGGCACCGCTTCCTCCACCTTTGGGTCGGCCGCGCGCGCTCGCTTCTTCCTCTTCCGCGCCCGACGGAGCTGCAAAGTCGCCTCTGCGAGAAGTAAGCAACGACGTAAAGTACGGAGCGGTCGTGGGTTTCAAGAGCTCACGAGACACTCCCACAGCACTGGTATCACCGCCTCAAATTTTTAGGTAACGTAGGAACTTTTGACCAAAAAAAACAACAACAAAAACAAAAACAAAACAAAAACGTGCGTTTGAGGGAATTATGACGAAAAACTAGATATAAAACAAATCTGCGGTCGGCCCAACTTCATTTCTACCTGCTAGGCTCACAAACCATCATAAATACAAAATCTCTAAAACACGAAAATGCGTCAACTTGTGCTTCGCGCATGCGCCAGAGAAAACTACGAATTTTCCCGAAAAAACAAAAACAAACGGGAACTTTGCGGGAAAATGTTTGCTGTGGGAAAGTGTTAATCCATTCAACACTTTTGAAGGTGTAACTCTCGGTAACACTTTCAAATAGTATCTAAGACAGTTGGTTGTGCACTTCCACGAGTGCACCCAGAAAACTGAGTTCTTGGATCAAGAACACTGTTCTTGATCACGGTTTCAGTCAAGAACATTTGCCTTGATCCAAGCAATTTTGACTTGGATCAAGGCAAATGTTCTTGACTAAAACCGTGATCAAGCACAGTGTACTTGATCCAAGAACTCAGTTTTCTGGGTGTGTGCTACTGATATAAGGGCACACTTTCGGAGCACAGTGCTTTCTAAGCGTCAAGTGTTCTAATGGTTCTAATTCCAAGAAATAGAGTTGCGCACTTGCAATTGTAGAGCCACATGTGTGCACCCCGTCGATGAGTGTCTTTCTTAGAACAGACATCTTGGCCAAGATCACTTTTAACCGAATCACATCGACGTCCCCCCGTGCAATCGACTCGAAAGGCGCGACATGTCTGTTCCTAGGCTGATGAAATAAGATTGGGTTCTCGCTCACGCTGCTTTCCCGCAGGAGCGCGAAGTTCGATGGGCCCACGACGAGTGTCTCACAGGTCTGCCATATGGCTTACGGCCTGCGTTAATCTCTGAGCATGCGCCTGCTCGGCGGCACCGCGGCTCGGCACGGCAGGCAGCCTCCGTGAGGATGTAGGCGTGCGCACACAGCAGCCCCGAGCGGTACACACATACTTTTCCCCGCGGCCTCGTATCCGGGCCTCCCCCCGGCGGGAAACACTTGGAGCGAGAAGAGGCGGGGGGTTTACCTGCAACATGCGTTGCCTCGCTTGCATGCCTATACGCCCTATTACAACTTTTTCTCTCCCCCCCC